GAGGAAAAATTAAATTTTTTTTTCCCAAAAAAAAAAAAAGGGGGGGGTTTTTTTTTTTTTTTTTTTTTTTTTTTTTTTTTTTTTTTTTTTTACAAATAATATGTGCATTAATAATATTTTAGTGATATCTGTTTTGTAAAAACAAAGTAAAAGCAAAATTAAACAAAGGAAAAAAGTGGAATTCAGTTACTTTGGTAGAAAGCATAGAAAAATTAACCTGAAATAATGATAAAATGACAAACTATTTTAGAAATGAATTTATTGTGCACTGATATCTCATCCTAATTTTTTTGCTAGTAATTGCATAATGTCTTCTGCTACTGTTAGCACCGTGTGCTAGCTGTTTGTTCACTAAGGACATAATCGTGTATTGAATATTATTTCATACAATACTGTTTCAGTATTTCTATATTCACTTGTATTTTTTGTATATATAGATTTTTATATTAGTTCTGCTCTGACCTCAGTACTGCTGTTCCCCACTGTGGGATTAATAAAAGAATATCTTATCTTATCTTATCTTAAACAGTTTGGTAGTCCCTTTGTAATTTTTGTCTTGGGGAACACATGATCCAAATGCATTCAGTGATGCTCTTAGCGCTAGCTTTTGGTTACTCACCAACTCTGTTGAGGGCTTACTTACAAGAGGCGTTCAGAGATAGAAAAACATGATATGTCCCATTTTATAGACTACTAGTTGTGACATTTTGGCTCTGTCACAGTTATTTAAGCTGGTGTTTTTTTTTTAATTGTATAATGTGTTTTAAATTTAGATAACTAACTTGTTGATTTATGCTAACTGATGACTTCATTAATACATTTGGACTCACCGAGCCTTTTTGCAATTCCTTACAGCTGGAATCAGTCTCAGTCGCCCCTTATTTGATGTGTTGTACTTCTCCAGGTCCAATTCATCCAGAACCTCCTCTGACATCTGCAGCATTTGGGCAAGAGCTGAGCAATGAACCTCTGAGAGTTTCTTATTTGATTTGTTTTCTGACTTCATGAATTCTTGGATCTCCTGATAAACTGACTGGTCATTCAGCTCCATCAGACAGTGGAAGATGTTGATGCTTCTGTCAGGAGAGATTCTATCAGTGTTCATCTTCTTCAGCTTGTTGATGATTCTCTGGATGGCTTCTGGGCTGATATCTGTCTGACCCAGCAGACCTCCTAGAAGTCTCTGGTTGGACTCCACAGAGAGACCATGAAGGAAGCGAATGAACAGATCCAGGTGGCCAGTTTTACTTCTAAAAGCTTTCTCCATCATTATGTTCAGGAAATCTTGAAGAGAGAATTTCCTGCATTTTCTACCCAAGAATCTCTCAATCTCCTCTGTGTTCCTGGTGGTGAAACAGTGGAACATATACACTGCAGCCAGAAACTCCTGGATGCTCAGATGAACAAAGCAGTAGACTGGTTTCTGGAATATTACAAACTCTCTTTTGAAGATCTCTGTACAAACTCCTGAGTAAGTCAGGGCCTCCGTCACATCCAGACCACACTGCTCCAGGTCTTCTTCATAAAACAAGATGTTTCCCTTCTTTATATGTTGAAATGCCAGCCTCCCCAGCTTCAGAAGAACTTCCCTGTCAGCCTCCATCAGCTCCTGTGGACTTCTCTCATGTCCTCCATGGTATTTCTTCTTCTTTCTCTTTGTCTGGACCAGCAGGAAGTGTGAGTACATGTCAGTCATGGTCTTGGGCAGCTCTCCTCTCTGCTCTGAGGTCAACATTTTCTCCAGAACCATAGCAGTGATCCAGCAGAAAACTGGGATTCCACACATGATGTGGAGGCTCCTGCAGGTCTTGATGTGGGAGATGATTTTGCTGGACAGCTCTTCATCACTGAACCTCTTCCTGAAGTACTCCTCTTTCTGGGTGTCGGTGAAGCCTCGTACTTCTGTGAACCTGTCAAAACACTCAGCAGGGATCTGATTGGCCGCTGCAGGTCTGGTAGTTATCCAGATTAGAGCCGAGGGAAGCAGGTTCCCCTTGATGAGGTTTGTCAGCAGAACATTGACTGATGACTTCTGTGTGACGTCAGAAACCAGTTGACTGTTGTTGAAGTCCAGTGAAAGTCTGCTTTCATCCAAGCCATCAAAGATGAAGAGCAGTTTGCATTTAGCCAGCTGCTCTGCTAGGAGCGTCTGGAGTGTTGGATGGAAAACATGGAGCAGCGAGAGAAGACTGTATTGCTCATCTTTGATAAAGTTCAGCTCCCTGAATGAAAGCAGAACCACCACACTGACATCTTGGTTCTCCAAGCCCTCGGCCCAGTCCAGAGTGAACTTCTGCACTGAGAAGGTTTTTCCAATACCAGCAACACCCTTGGTCAGAACCACTTTGATGACGCCATGTTGATCAGGTAAAAGCTTAAAAATGTCATGGCACCTTATTGGTGTGTCATGAAGGGCCTTCATTTTGGTAGCCTTCTCCAACTGCCTCACCTCGTGTTGAGTATTAACCTCTTCACTCTGTCCCTCTGTGATGTAGAGCTCTGTATAGATTTTGTTGAGGAGGGTTCTACTTCCTGTCTCATCAATTCCTTCAGTTACACATTCACATCTCCTCTTCAGACTGATCTTATGTTCTTTCAAAACTTCCTGCAGACCAACATCTGATTTGAAAAATGAATGAGACAAAGAAAACATTCATGCTGATTGAGATAATATACAATAGACCCAGTTCCACATCATTTGAGTCCTTTTTCTGAGAACCTATTTCTTTGGTTAAACATCAGCAGTACAAAAACATGATGACCTGAAAGTCCTAAATGGAGCACCAGTGAACAAAACTACAGGTATCCAACCCTAGTTCTCAAGTTCTACTGTCGTCTTACTGAAGCGGTAATTCGGTCATTTGATTCAGCTGTGTTGGAGCAGAGACATATATAAAACCTAAAGAACAGTAGATCTCTAGGACAAGTGTTGAAGACCGCTAGACTAAACCGATGACCTTAAGATGAATACTGAGGCAGGGAGCTATGCAGTCTTTTTCTATAACTCTAACAAAGTTACTTGTTATTTTAACTTTGTCCTATTCAGTACACCTTGATTTATTGTTTAAATCCTACTCATCAAAACTTTTCAGTTCAGTTACAGTATGTGAAGTGTCCTCAACAACAGCTCTCCTCTACAGCTAGACTGCTGAAACTCCATATGTTGTGGTAATTATCATTTTAAAGTAGATCTGCAGAAAATGCACACTTTTTTCCACTGGTAAAAAAGTGGAGATGCTATATCTCCCTTGTTGGCCTCACTACACCAGATATTGTTATATGAGGTTGATTTTCATATTTTGATTTTTTCAGGCTTTTAAATGGCTAGTACTTCACTATCTTACAAAACCATACACATTTTCCAACCAGGATTGCATATGTTGGGTAACTAGTATAATTATAAAGTCCCAAGGACCTGGTTGAAGGCTAGAGGTGAAGGAGCCCGATGGTCAGAACCATTCTGATATCTCCTTTAGGCTTTGGAACATCCTCCTATGGAATGTCAACCATTGAAACATTTAAATTTGTTTTGTATGCAATATGGTTTTTCTGCTTTTGTTGACATGCTTTGCATTTTTGTCAATCTCTGCTGTTTCACAAGTGCCATTAGAAGTGAATAAATCCTGATTATTCATTTTGCACAATTTAAAAATAAACATCTCTGTGCCAAAATAAGAAGTAATAGCCGGTACTTGTTTTAGTCACCATAGCCTGGTGACTCTGACTCCTATCATAATGAAGTGTTTCACATGGATAGGAAAGATCCATTATTCCCTCTCTACCTCACTGAACTCCCTGCCATTGGCTTACCATCCCAGCTGCTCTATCACCAAATACTTTTCCCACACCATGCATACTGCTCTCTGTTCCTTGGACCAGAATCAAAATGGTATTCACCAACTTCAGCTCACAATATGGTGTTAACCTTCTCCAGCTGCTAAAGCAGAAACTCTGGATCTGTTGGCCTACTGATCCAGAGCAAATCTGTTGGTCACCAACCCCAGACTATTATAGATTCTGAAGTATAAAGAGTTACATCCATCAGCTTATCGGAGATGTTGACAATCCAATTCAACTACCACAACTAACTAGGTAGGTTGTCCACTGTATCAACATGGCTTCTTCCACATGCTGAAGATAATCAGTCTGCCACCACTTCTTCTACATAGGGACTGTAGCGACTTCTCAGCAGCAACATCATCATCACCTGCTTTGATTTGATTTTTACTATAACAATGTGTATTAAAACAGGTTACCAAAATGTCTTACCTTGTACAAAACTGCTGCAAACACCACTAATCTCCTTTACCCTTTGAAAACATGAATATTAACATAAGCCACTGAGTCAAAGCACAATATTCAGATTTTTTGAAGTTTAAAATAATAACAAAAATAATAGCATAGACAGATTTTTTTCAGGGAAAATTTGTTGAGAATTCTGTTTTTCCTTATTTTAGTTACTTAAGTGTACACAAAGCTGATTATATTTAAAGTTATTAATAATAAAACCATATTTATTACACCTTGGATTCTGTGTAGCATCCAAAAACAAACATATGAAGAAAGTAAAGCCTAACTTACAATTTAAAAAATATTGAATTAATTATTTGATCATCCATCAGTGAGTAAAATCGAAAAGAAACTGACATTCAAAGTTGGTTAAAAATTAAGAGTAACAATCTTAAGATGATATTGTTGGGGATGTAAAAAAAAGAAAGAAGTACTTAAATCTACTGAAGTAAATGCTTTCTTACTCTGTGTCTGAGGGTTCATTATTGTCATGTGGAGGGGTGTTTCTGAAGAGGTCACTCTTCATAGATGGACGGGTGGATGTTAGAGACTCTGCTCTCTGTGTCTGACCTCTGAAAAACAAATGTTATTTTCACCAGATGAATCAGTGAGAAATCCTCTACAAAGATTTGAACTCTAACCAAAAAGTTTCATGCAAGAATGAATGCCTCGGGTCAAATTGTAGCTTTTCTAGATAGACATAAAAATGATAAAAAATGTAAGATAGACCAGGTGATCTCTATTGGGATATAGAATAAAATTAGATAAGTATTGATTGGAGGAGGTTTTAAGGTTTGGTTACTTATTACTTTAACTTTGTGCAACGTCTTCTTGGGGGCCTTGATCCTTATGACACAAAGTAGAGAAGAACTGGTCCTACACAATGACCACTCCTCATCCTCCAAATGTATTCCACCACAAAGATTGCACAAGTTGCTACAGATGTTATACTCAATAGAAACATAGCACATCAGAAACTACTGTGGTGCAATGTATGTATGCTTGTGTGTTTGCACAAAAATGTGTGGCTGAGTCATGTTTAAAAAGAAATAATTAAATCTGCTCAAAGTGTCCTTACTTTGTGTCTGGAGGTTCATTTCTGAAGTTTACAGGGATATCTCTGGAATGGTCACTCTTCATAGACGGACAACTGGATCCTGGAGACTCTGACCTCCATCTCTCGTCTCTGAAGACAAACATGTCACATTCAGCTCAATCAGTGAAAAACTCTCCAAAGAAAAACATTTAAGAACCTTTGAACACAAATAGAAGCAGAGGACTACAAGGTTTCATGGGCAATGTGTGGCTGTTTTTTAAGAGATGCTCATCTGCTTTGTCCCAGTAGGAGGTGTCTAGTAGGGCACGTTTGTGATGAGTTGGAGTTGGTGATTGAGAGCTATGCCTTTTTGTCCACCATCAATATTCAACCTCACAAATTCACTTCTGGAAGATGAAATGCCCTCATAAATACCCCCATAAACATTGCAGACAGCTGTTCTAGCAGCACAGAAGCTGGTGTAGATTACAGGTTTGGCTTTCAACATTTAAAAGTCTGAATATGTCATGAAAGTTCAGGCAAGTGCCAACTGACACTTGCCATGAAAGGGAACATGACTGCACCCCTCCGACTCATTACTTGATATCTGTCATCTTTGTCTCATTATCTAGATTTGAAAATAATCTGTAGATTAGTCAAAGTCAGCAACAGTGTTCTTACTTTGTGTCTGGAGGTTCATTTCTGAAGTTTACAGGGATATCTCTGGAATGGTCACTCTTCATAGTCAGACAACTGGATCCTGGAGACTCTGACCTCCATCTCTGACCTCTGAAGACAAACATGTCACATTCAGATCAAACGATGAGAAATGCTCTGATGGAAATCACTGCAGAAGCTCTGAAGATGCAAACTGCTGCAGATAACCAGAAAGTTTCAAATACACCAAAGATCTACACAAGTAAAACTGAGATCTTTCTTTTAAATCAGTCCGATTCTAGAGATGGAGCTTAATAAATGGCAGTCAGCAACTAGTTGTTGAGGGAGCTGAGACGGAGCTGAGACGTAGCTGCAGACACTTCTCTTTGTGTTTCTTGTTAGACCTGGATTTGTCATGAAGTGGGATGTTGATGGTGGTGAGGTAGACGCAGTGGACCCGGGTTGAAATGAGAGAAGTGATAATTTATTTAATAATGAATATACACAAATAATCCAGGCAGTACAGGTGAGTAGAAGGCTGGGAGCTCAGGATGGTAGCAACTGGTATGAACATAACTAACGACAGACTCAACGAGGACCCTATTGATAGGTATTTTTTCTCGAACCTACATAAAAAGACCACAGACAACGTATATGAATTTCATAGACAAAGCTTTTGCAAAAGGAGAACTTTCCATCAGCCGTTCACAGAAAGTTCTGATCTCCTTCCACGCGAGCCCCTGTTTTATTGTCAAAGCAGAACAGCCAGAAAAAAACAACAGAGGTCGTAAAACATTTAACCTAAACAAACCAGCAACTCAGTTCCAGGTGTGATATCTGATCTACGATCTGAGCCCAGTTCAGCTCTAGGTCAAACTGTCAACAAAGAGGGAGGATAAACAAGAGACAAAATACGACTGCTCACAGGCAGTTAGGAGGTATTCTGGTTGATAAGAATTAAGGTCTGGGAAACACAGAGTTAACTGTTACACATGAAGATGAAACAGTCAATCGTAACCTCCAGGTCAGTTTATACACACATTAACATTAGACTGAACAAAATGATAATACCAAAAATCTCTATCACCTATCAGTAACAAGAGACACAGGCGGGATTTAATACACAGGGAAGTAATAACAGAAACAAGATACAGCTGGGATCAATCAAAGGGTAGACAGGACAACACAGAGACTCAACTGACACAGAAACCTAAATAAACACGCAGACAAACTCATCCTCCCAGGATTTGTTGATCACTAGATTCACTGAAGTTATTTTTATATTTTTTATGCAATAAAAACTTGTTGGAAATCATTTGTTTGTCAGATAAAGAACAAGTCCCTTTTTGCCTGAATTGAAATGAACAATGCACATAATTTATTGTACCATGAAAAACAAAATGGAATAAGCCGAAATGGGTGTGGTTCAGGAGTAGCTTACCAACTGGAATGTCCAGTTTCTTAAATACGCATTGCAGAGTGCCACTGTTTTGCAGTGTTAAAGTGACTAACAAAGCAAGAATGCCAACATTTGTCTCAAATTAGTTCCAACAAAACATTCCCTCTAAACATAAACATGACGGAAACATTCCTTAGGAAGGAAAGGAAGAAAGAAAGAAAGAAAACATACAGCCAGTCTATTTAGACTATTTTAGAGTGTTTTTCTCTGCGCAATATTGCCATCTAACCATCTTGGTTGAGTATTTTTTTAGAATAGATAATAAAGGGCTTTTTTTTATAACACCAAAATAGATTACACAAACATAAACGCGCAGTTAATAGGTAAATTTTCAACCAGTTTCTGCACCAAAGAGTCAAGAATGTATAAATACATTTTCACCAAGGCTCTTTAAAGGTATAAGCATTTATGTGCATTTTTAAATTGACTGTATAGATCAGGGTGTATTTGCCAATTTATTCTGAGGAACACAAAATAATAATTTTCCCCTATGTCCCACAAAAACATGTATCTGAGCCACATTTAAAAAGAAATAATTAAATCTGCTCAAAGTGTTCTTACTTTGTGTCTGGAGGTTCATTTCTGAAGTTTACAGGGATATCTCTGGAATGGTCACTCTTCATCGACGGACAACTGGATCCTGGAGACTCTGACCTCCGTCTCTGACCTCTGAAGACAAACATGTCACATTCAGCTCAAAGAAAAACATTTAAGGACATTTGAACACAAATAGAAGCAGAGGATAAAGTTTCATGTTTGCAATACTCCTTGGATTACAGCTCCACTGCTTGAGAACTGCCGCAGTATTTCTGTTCATTTCACTTTATTTATATAGAGCCATTTACAAACAAATGTCGTCTCAATGCACTTTACAAAAAATCATTTCAATTTAATCACACATTCATTCAACTTGGTCTTAATTATCAAGCAGTGCAGCATGCTCAATTAATGTTTCAAAGTAAATTAAAAAGTTTCTATCTTAAGAAACCCAGCAGACTGCATCAAGTTGGTGACTTGATGCAGTCACTCCTGGAGCAGGACAGATTATTCTGGAAGTGTTCAGATATGCATTAAAAGGGCCAGCATCATGTAAAGTCAACTTTTAGAGTCTCACATCATACTATAATGTTATTCCCTCATCAAAAACATTTTCCAGTTTCTAGACGCTAAATTACAGGTAACATTTCTTTTAAGTCATGTTTGATATACATAGCATTTTATAACAACTGAAGGTTATTTGATTGTGCTATAAAATGAGGCTATGTGGATGTAAAAGACATCATACTCTCCCTTCAAGATGAAGAATGTATGAAGATTTCTAACTTCTGGGATGAATGTCTGATTTCTAGCTGCAGCAAATACAGAAACAGTTGGAGTGTCAACGTTGCAAGAGCAGCTTCATTTTAGACCAAATCTTACTGCCAATGAAAAGTGTTTGTTCTGCTTTTAAAGCCTCTCTCTAGAGGAAGGCAGACAGATCTGGAGGCGCCCTGGACAGAGTTGATCTCTGAGGAATCTCTAAAAAAGTTTGCAGTCTCATCAAGAGAAGATTTCAACCGAGAGTCCCTAATATTAACAGAGTGAAGTCACAGTGCAGCTTGCTCCGTTGGTGCTGGTCGGCTCTGCAGAGATCACACTGACATATCTGAACACACTGTGCACCACTTCCTGTGTGTAAGTGAACTTACGCTGGTTCCGAGGGTCCAGCTTGTTTCCTGCAGGCTGAAGGTTTGGCTCCGTCCTCCTGCTCCTCCTCAAAATCCTCCATTTTCTGGACTGCAGTCACCCTGAGAGGCTTACAGGAAGAGGGTTCACAGCTAAAGAGTCAAAACAAATGGTTCTGTTCAAGACTCCAACATTCAGACAGAAAACATTTTAACCTTCCTTCTCCTCGGCCTCAGTTTGGAATCACCTGGATTCAAATGGAAAGTACTTTTAAAGAAATTACTTATTTTCCGTAAACATTCAGCTTCAGTTTGATGTCCTCAAACTGAAATTGTCATTGGTCCGCCTGTATCGAGTATTGTGTAAGTGACGCAATTTAAGTTTCAGATCAGAACAAGAAACAAACCGTGAACTTCTACTGAAGCCTCGAAACGTACTCAGACTCTGAGAAGTAACAACTCACCTGATTTACCTGAGCGCCTCTTCCTTCTGCTCTGCCTGTCTGAACTTGTTTCTTCCAGATCTTCTTCCTGCCTAGTAGGCAGGCATGGCCACTGTGCAACAGTGACGTTGATGGAGGTGTGAAACTCCTTTTATCTATCATCACCTTCTCCAAGACTCCACCCTATTGCATTTACAGGAAACAGGTGAGTTCACCTGCCTGATCCATGGCTAGTTCTACTTTCAATCAGATGCAGGAATCCAAACATCCCAAAATTATAGTCAAGAGCATTCATGGACCATTCAATTAAATAAAACATCCTGAATTAGTTTTTGCACATTTGCTGAGTTAAAATAAGGTCATCTAGTGTTCAAATTATTTTAGGCTCAATTGAACAAATTTATTCTCAGTTATAAGAGTTTGGGTCATAAAATAAATAAAAGCTTATTTATGTGCAGCAATGTTGGCTTTTCAGCAAAAGTCACTCTATAATTGTAATTTACTTGTAAAGGTTTGGTAATAAAAAGATAAATTCTTTGTATTGTACTTAACTTTTTGTATTGTAGGAAGATTACGTTGATAATAATTTTACCCTGATTAAAAATAAAAAGTCTACATCTGCATCCACCGCCTGTGATGGACAAGTCAGGGTTGCGTAATTCCTGACCTGCAGTTTGGGGCCGCACAGAATCAGTCTAATGGCTACAAATGGCCCCCAGACCGCACTTTGGACAACCCTGATCAGGACTGAGGCAGGTCATACCAGCAGCTAAAATGGTACTTAACAATATTCCATAATAATCTGGAGTTCAGCATCTTCAGAATAATCTGTGTAAATTTCTTCTCGGATGCTTCAAACCCAGGAAATAATCCGTTAGCAGTCCAGAGACGAGCTGTTGTTGCAATAGCAACAAAAGTCGCATCTTCAATTTAATTGGGTTCATATAAAGACAGAAGCAGAATATGCTGCTTCTGTCAGCATATTTAGATGAAAATATGCTGTTGACATTTAAATGTGATAAACTGTTCCTCCTGACAGAAGACTGCCCTCTGTTGGTTGGTCAAGGTGGAGAACTTTAAATGGTCTCATGACCCAGTGGTTGTCATTGGTCTGTTGAGTACTGAACTGGCTCCCAGTTTATGTCCAGTATTGGCTTCATAAATCCTCAACTCAGTGTTATTGATCCTCGATTGTCAGGAACAGGATAACAGGAAGTGGTGGTTCTACCTACACCTCAGCCCAAAATTATTCATACCCCTGGCAGATCTAGAGATGAAGTTACAAAAATAAGGCAGGCGTCTCTCAGAGGTTCAGGCTGTGGTCCAGGTTATTTCTAACCAAAATTTTTCTTTTTTCAGCAAAAATCAGCGTTTCCATAATAATTTATGGTTTACCATCACTATCTGTGTATCCAACATTTTTATGCCCATTTTGAAGTATTGCATTAGAAAAGGTGGATGAAAAAATCAAAACTTAAAACAACTCCTTGATTTTCTCAAAAACGTTTAAGGTGGTTTTTGGCTTTTCTGACAGATTGTGCAAAAGGGGAGATAGAAACAGGTTTGGTGACTTAGGCTAGGTTCACACTGCAGCCTGAAGGGACCCAATTCCAATTTTTTCTTTTTGCCGGGGCCGTTCACACTGCCAAATATATGTGACCTGTATGTGAACGAGCAAACGACCTGAAAGTGTCCTGCATGCGCAGCAGAGGGCGCAATAGCATCAGCGTTCTGGCAACCGCCATAAAAAGAAGTAGTGCTCGGTGTTTGCAGAAGTAAACATGGAGGCTAATGGTGGAGCTTAGCTTACATATTTGAAGTTGTCCAACTGGAGCAGCATATTAACAACTTAATCCTCATATAATCCGTCATGGTTTTGTCTTCCCGCTTGCTCAAATCAGGGCGCAGAATAGTGAGATTTGTTGAGAATCAGTGACATTCAGTTCGGATGAAGGCGACCTGAACATTAGGTCACATTTAAATCAGATGCGTTTAGGATTTGGGTCAAATTCGAAAAGAATCCGACCTGTGCTGTTCAGACTGTCATGAAAAAATCAGATACAGGTTGCATTAACAAAAAAAAAAAAATCAGAATTGGGTCACTTTAGCCTGCAGTGTGAATGAGGCCTAAGTTCTGATGTAGCGATCGCTCCCGTCCACTGGTGGAGCTAAGAACTAAGAGTTCTCATTCTGCAGCTTTTATTAGAATCATGGGAATTTATTACATCAGCAGTTGCAGCAAAAACGCTTTAAAATCTTCTGTCCCCCCCGCCTTCCAACATGGCCGCCAAGACAAACAGACGTCAGCATGTCAGAGTCAGAGCCGCTCGCCGCGTCCGTCCGGAGCTCCAGGCTGCTGGGAAAGGGGGCGGAGCCTGGGGCAGGAAGCGGCGGCAGCACATCAGAGAGCGAGGGCCAAGAAGAAGAGAGATGATGATGATGATGATGATGATGATGCTGAAGAACAGGCACGTTGGAGTGAGTCTAGGCTATCGCTGTCACACAGTGAGGAGCTGCTGCCCACAGAGACACGCCGCTCCGCTCCACCGCGCCGCGGGTCACCGCGCCGCCGCTCCAGCTGCAGGAAGCGTCTGATTGGTTGGCTGGCTGGTTGGTGTTTCTGTGGCTCCGCTCCGGTTCCTCTGGTCCGGTCCGGTCTGATCCGGTCCGGTTCAGATGATCTCAAAGGTTTTCTTCAGCTCCATGATGAGCTGCCAGTCAGATTTCTGCATCTCGTCTCTGAACCAGTTCTTCAGGGCGTCGATGGACGCCCGCGTGATCTGCACCCACGCAGAGCAGCCGTTGTTATGGCAACAGGAAGAATAAGCCCCCACCCCCCCAACAGCGGGTGTGCCCTCACCTTGCTGACGATGATGTCAGTGGCTTCAAAATGGCGGCCGTACATCTTGGGCGACTCCCCGGGGATGGGCTCGATCTTCACGCAGATCTCCTGGCCTTTCTTCGCCGTGTCCACAGACTTGTGGTTCATCTCGATGCTGGTTACCACGCCGATCTCCACGAACTGCAACCACCACCGCATCGGTTACACAACGCAAAACAAAACCATCACCAACGGTCACACCGGCGCCTCTCACCCCTTTGCTGGGTACGCAGAGCGGCGTCCCCTGCTTCAGAAGCCCCGCCTCCACCGACACGCCCATCACGATGGGATCTCTGGAGTTGAAGATGAACTGAGGAAGAACGCGCAGCTTCACCGGGAACACGGCGATGTGCCTGGGCAGAAACACCGCGTCAGCATGGGGGCGTCAACCAGGCACACTGCATTAGGCTCTAAAGGTCAAAGGCTACTGGAGAACTGCAGACTTTAAGACACTTTAAAGGGCTCTGGATGAAACTGATCACAACCCACCAAACCCAATCGATGAGTATCAATGTACTGTCAATGGAATCACCATGACGACAGGAAATAAACTGATAATTACTTAAAGCTTTTTAGATTTAATTTGTTCTGAAATCTACAGATTTTTTGGTTTATTGTGATGAAATCGTGACAACACTGCCCTCTGGTGGTTAGAACATAAACAACAATAGAAACATCTGCTTATGGTTTTCTATAGATCTGGAGCAGCTCAGACTGCCTGTGTTTGTGTCGGTGAGGTTTCCTACTTGAACTCTTCCTGTTTGGACTTCTTGTAATCCTCTCTATACTTGGTGAAGGCGTCAAACAGGTGGTAGATGATCTCGGCAGAGAAGATGCGGACGCCCAGACTGTCGGCCATCTCCTGGCTCTCCCTCTCCACCTTCACGTCGAACGCCAGGATCACGGCGTACCTGCAGACGGACGGATGGACAACCGGCCGTCAGACGGCGCCTGGACACGGGCCAACGTACCAGCAGGGGGCGCCACGTACTGCGGGTCGTGCTCCAGCATGGTGGACGCCTTCATCACGTCCTTTTTATGCACCGGGCCGATGTTGATGCCTGCGTACTGGAAAAGAAGCGTGGTCAGCTGGAGGTGACTTCCTGTGTGGGGCAATGGGTGAGGGGGCTGGCGGTTACTCACCGGGACTTTGGAGGTCCGGAGGAACTCCAGCAGCGCCTCCAGGGAGCCCAGCGTGGACGCCTGGACGTACACGCCCTTCTCCTCCAGCTTGATGGAGCTCAGCGTCTGCTTCAGCTCCTTCACCAGCTCATCCTGACCACCAGACGTTAGCCGTTAGCAGTTAGCAGTTAGCCATTATCCACAACTCAACTCAGAGGAAAACCACAACAATACCTTCAAGACGGGGATCTCGTCGTCCTTGTGGGCCACTAGCAGGGGGAGCCCTGCCAGCGTCTTCTCCAGGTCTTTACCTAAAATCTTCACTCCCTGAGACGTCGACACTTCCTTGTGCTTCTCATACTGACTCTGGACAAAAACAACAAAATGATATGATTTATGATTCATGACATCACAGCCATCAGAGAAATAAACAAAAAAACAAAGAACATTATCAACATTAACCCCCCAAAAATTTTTGATTCTACTTTTATTCACTGAAACTGGATCAATGAATCCATAAACCAAACACAGGGATCTACATGATCACAATACTGGTTACTCAGTGCGACGTAATTCCAGTTTTAGAGGAAAGAAAATTTAAAAAGAGAAAAAAGGAAAAGAAAAACTTATTCCAGGTTTTGGGAGACAATAGAAAAAATGTAAAAAAAAACAACAAAAAAAACAACATTAAAACTGAATAAAACCGGAAAAAAATAGGAAGACAAATAATAATAAATCAGGTTGGTAGTTTGTCTTGCT